GTCGCCCCTGCCGCGCCGCCAGCCACGTCCGCATCGTCATGCTGAGCACGGCCCACGCCGACGCCAGGTCCCGGGCCCTGAGCGCCTCGCGGTACGGGGCCCCGTACTCCGCCACCACCGCCGTCGTGACTTCCCGTGCAACTGCCGGGCTCCAGCCGTCGGCGGCAGCGCCATCCTTTGATCGTCGGGTGGGTGTAAGTGCGGTAAGAGCGTTGTATATCCGATGAAATCGTTTCAACGAAGATGTATGTAGGTTCATGCTAGTTGACCTCACATATTCAACATATATAGAATATCGAACTTCGCATTCATCTACTTAACGTTTTGTTAGATAAGTATATTCAACAACATACCATACATACTACTCACAGAACCATCCATCTTATCAACTGAGCTATCGGGTACCACTGCCAAGATATATCGATACATACACCTCAACATACCCAACTTAGTAGCTAAGTCAGCTAAGTCGATGTGGGCTGTCCGATTCGGTTAACCCGAAATTTGCATAACTTTCTATGTTTTGCATGTTTGTTCTTGATATTGCTATGTTTCGGGAAAAAACCACAAAAAACGTTTTAACAACTACAACACAACAGTTTTTCAGGACAGGGCGCCGCAGGTCGACGCGCCGAGCCGCCCTCAGGACGCCTGCGGGGCGCGGAGGGGAAGGGGGGAGAGGGAGAGGGGGGGGGATCAACTATTCTTCAAACTGCCTCCCCTCGGCGGCCATCACCGCCTCCCCTCTCCTCTCCTCGTTGTCGGCGGCCAGCCCGCCCCCGCTCCCTCCTGCCGCCTTCCCTCCCCGAGCCCGCCTTCCTTCTTCGGCGGCATATCCGCCCCTCCCTCCTGCACCTCTCTATCGAAGGGCGGCGCATCCGCCAGCGGCATATCCGCTCTCGCATGCGCTCGTTTTTTCTTTTTCACGTGATGGCGAGCACATAGCCATCGTCCTGTAGTCGCCGATAAGCCGCCCAGGCTGGCGGGATCAGCTCGGCGGGCATCACGGCGACGTCGCCGCGCGGCCGCCACAGGGACGCGCCTGGGCATGGCGCGCGCACCCATTCCAGGGTCTCCACCAGCAGGTAGCTGGCGGCGCCAGCCTGCGCGCAGCAATGCACGATGTACGCCTCGCCGTCGCCCAGGAGAAAATCCTGAGGGCAGCAGCGCCTCGATTTTTGGGGGGGCACACGCATGTGCACCCCTAAATACCAAGGTTGGTTGCGCCGTCTGTCCTGGCTGCCGTGCATCTGGCCGTCGATGGACGCCTCTCTGCTGGTCCACGTTTCAGCCCTGCGGAGGGGTTCCTCCTCCTCCTCCTCCTCCTCCTCCTCCTCCTCCTCCTCCTCCTCCTGGCGGCGAGCCGCCTCGGCGGCAAACCGCCTTCCCCTCTCCCAGCCCATCTTCCTCCACAAAGGGCATGCAAGGTTGCGCCCCGAGTGCCCGAACGTACTGTCCAGCTCTGGCGTGCGCCACGCTTTGGCGCGGGAGCGCGGCGCCTCCTTCGCTTCCTCCAGGAAGCAGGCGAGCATCGCCGTCAAGGCCGACCGCTCGAAATTCTCAGGGTTGTCGATCTCCTGCGACCTGGACCGAAGCAGGTTGTGCTTCCGCTCGAGTACGAAGGCGTCCAACCAGATGCCGTCCTCCGCAGGCTGGTCGGGGACGTGCCACAAATAATGATGCTTCGGCTTGATCAGGGCTGGCCCGTGCGCGGCTTTGTGCAGCGCCAAGGAAATCGAAACGGCCTTGGTCCAGACAGCTATCAAATTCGGCACGGCGCCGATCCTCAGGACGTAGCCGAACCGCCTGCCACCTAAGCGCTCGAGGATGCGCGCGGGCCGACGCGGTGCATCCTCGAACGCGCAGGCCAGCGTTTGCGTTTCAGCTGCGGCCGCATGTCCTTTTGCCCTGCATGTACAATTCGAGCATCTTCGCCATCGCCTCGAACGACCGCGCCGCAGCGTTCGCCATGCCGCTGGGACGCAGCTCTGTGTGCACCCAATGACGAATCAAAGGGAACACGGCCAAGCAATCCGACGCCTTGCCCACGAAGTGCGACGCCTTGCAGGTCGCTTTCTTCCGAGCCACGCTGAACAGAAACGCTGGCGGTTTCCTGCCGCGTCTGCCAGTCCGCCACGCCGAGCAGCGATCCCGCCACGTTCCCCACGCGTCGGGGATGACATCCCTCACCGCCTTGAGGAGCGCAAAGATTTCGACCTGCAAGGTCCCGCCGCTGGCCAGCATGGTATGCATGGGGTCCCTCACGTATGTGCTCGGCGGCGCCACCGTCCGCAACGCCTGGCACGCCACCAGAGAACGGTCATCCAGAGTGATGCCCATTGCCGTCTCCTTCGGGGGCCGGAACATCAGAAGGGAAGGAAGGGGGGGACATCAGAAGGGGATCGATGGAAATGTTTTCCTCCCTGGCTCCAGTCTCTCGATGTTCGCTCTGGTTGTCGTGTCCCGCAGCGACGCCAAATCATCATATTGCTGCAAAAACTCGTCTGACGACAGCGGGTCAAAGCGCGACGAGTCAGCGCACCAGAGAGGCACGAGGTAATCATCGTCGTCGTAGTCTGCAAGACATTCCGCCTGATCCAGCACAACGTTCTTGCATTGCAAGCACGGTCTCAGACCTGCAGCGCCCTTGGTGCAGAATGTCTCTTTTCCAGCCGCCTCGTCTGCAATCAAGCGGTGGAACTTGGCGAAAAAGTGCACGCCGCCGATTGGCGCACCGTGCTCCGACAGACTCTCTGGGCCCAGGAACAGCGCGCGAAGCAATGCCCGCGCCACGGCCGAGCCGCCGATGCTCTTCTTCACGACGACGCGCAAGGTGCCGATCGGCAGCCACGCAACCTCCTTCTGCAAGAAGGATCCGAACTCGAGGAAACTCGCATACACCGCGAGCTGATTCCGACGATTATCTATCTTCAAGGCGTTGCCCACGCCAATGTCGTCGTAGTACAGCAAAAGCCTCCACGGCCGATCGCGCGACACAGGGAAACGGCGCATCGCTTCCCAAAACATTGAACTCCAGAGAGGGCAGTCCGACAGGAGCCTCGGCATCAGCCGATGCGGCAGCGCCACGCTCCATCGGAAAGGCGTGCCGATCTTGGGCTGCAGCCGCACTGCGCTGATGAGATCGGCCACGGATGCCGTCTGCGATCGCTGCATGGCCCGAGCGCTCACGTCTATAGCATCGCCCGCGTCGTCGCCATGGCCAAGCGCAGTCACGATTCGCTCGAGCAAAGCCGCGGACACGCCGCGCAGGGCCAGACACTGTTGCAGTCGAGCCCGCTGCTCCACCTGCTTGTCCACCTGCAGGGCGCGTTTCCCCATTGCGCCGACGCCCGCGCGCGGGAGGGGCGGGGGCGGGGGGCAGCGCGAGGCCCAGCGCGGTTGAGAAAAACGAATTGCAGCCAGAGAGACGGAAGTGGAGGCGGGAATGGATCGCGGGGCGGAGTAGCCGCCGAAGGGCATGGCGGTGTAGCCGCCTGAAGGGTCGGGAGGGGCGGCGTAGCCGCCGAAGAGCGTGGGGGCGAGGGGGCATGGGGGGAGGGGGGAGGGGGGAAGGGGGTGGGTGGGGGAGATTGCGGAGGCGCGAAGTGAGCGTAGCAACGGAACTTGCAAGGGAGATTTCTTTTTCTCGCACGCAATTTCGAGCTTGAGTTTCAAGCTCGGGTTCCAAGCCGCCAGCGCTCGGAGACGGGCGCGGCTGGCGGCTCGAGCTCGGGACGGGCGCAGCGCGGGACGGGCGCGGCGGCGGCTGGCGGCTCTTAGTGCGGGTGCGCGTGCTGCCTCCAACTCCTCATCCACCTCCTCCTCCTCTCCTCATCCTGCCTCCTCTTCCTCCTTATCCTCCTCTATCGGCCCAGCCGATCGCCGCTCAGCTCTCCTGGTGCGGCTGGCGGCAGAAGAACCGAATGCCGCCTGGGATGTCCTGCACCATCTGCTTCGACGTCTGGCACAGCATCTTGCCGCGCTCCTCGGTGCGGCGCGCCTCCTCCATCATGCGCCGCGCCTTGTCGATGAGCATCTGGCCCTTGATGCCAACGGCGCGTGCATGGCGGCAACGATTGCGCCACTCGATGAAGCGCACCACGATGGTCGCCCAGCTCCACGCACTGCCACCCGTGATGAGCTCGAAGTCATCGACGTCGTACTTGTCCGCGATGCTCGCCATGGCGGCGCAAGACCGCGAAGGGGCACGACCTCGAGCGGCTCCACTTGAGCCACAAAGACTACGGATGAGGGGTGGGACGGTGGCAGATCATGTCATTGGGAAACGCGAGAGAACGGTGCGAGCGCGGTGGGCAGCAAAGGCGGCATCTCCGCCAAATGAAGGCAAGGCGGCATGTCCGCCAAGGGCTTGCGAGAGTGGAAAGGCGGCATCCCCGCCAAACGAAGGGCTGCGGTGGTAACGAGTGGGGTGGCGATGGCAACGAAGAAATGTTTTTTTTTCAACAATAATAACAATTGTACGAAATCACACACCTCGTCATGAGCGGCCCAACTGCCGCCCCTGCCAAGGAGCTGCTTCGCCTCTGCTTCGTCTCCGACCGCCAATCGATGGGATTCCCAACGGTGTCGCTGGCCTTCGCGAGCCACAGCTCGCGCGGTAGGGTCTCGGGCAGGACGCGCTCGAGCAGGAGGGAGTTAGGCAAGCGCTTCGCCTCGCCAAGTGAGGCATCGGAGCGCGATGAGCAGCAAAGGCGGCATCTCCGCCAAATGAAGGCAAGGCGGCATGTCCGCCAAGGGCTTGCGAGAGTGGAAAGGCGGCATCCCCGCCAAACGAAGGGCTGCGGTGGTAACGAGTGGGGTGGCGGTGGAAATGTTGTTTCACCAACAATAACAATTGTATATACGAAATCACACACCTCGTCAGGAGCGGCCCAACTGCCGCCCCTGCTCACGAGCGGCCCAGCGGCCGCGGCTTATTCGGGTCCTTCTCCACCTTTTTCAGGCCGTACTTCATGATGTACTGGGCCACCATGGGGCGCTCAGGTGCTGTGCTTCTGCGCCTCCTTGAGCATCCCCGCGATGGCCCTCGCCGCCGAGCTCGCATCCTTCTGGATGCTGATGGCCTCGTCCTGCGTGATCGTCAACGCCACGCCGCTGTGCACGCGCTTCTGCGCCACCGCCTTCATGACTGCCACAGACTTCCTCGCCGCCTTCGCGTTCTTCACAGCCCATGACGGCACCTTGTCCGCCTTCTCATGCTCGAGGTACCCGTCCAGCTCTGTCTCGAGCCTCGTTGCGGTGCCGATCCACTTCAGCGCCAGGTTTTTCTCCTGCGTCTCCTTCTTGGCCTGCTCGGCCTTCTCCCTCGCTTCCTGTCGCCTCCGCTCCTTCTCAGCGTCCTTATCCCTGCGGAGCCTTCGGGGTTGTCCGAAAATGACAACACTTCGAGCCGAGCGAAATCAATAACCCGATCCGAACCTGAAGAGTTGAACGGAAACCGAAAACGAATGCGAAGCCCAGGCGACACCCCTGCGTTGAACCCCCAAACGGCCTGCTCTTGCTCCTGTCCTTGCTCTTGCCGCGGCTCTTGCTCCTGCCCTTGCGGCGGCTCTTGCTCCTGTCGCGGTCGCCGCGCGAGCGGCTCCTGCTGCGGTTGGTGTCGCGACGTCTGTCGCGGCGTCTGCTCCTGCTGTCGCGCCTGCCCCTGCTGTCGCGCCTGCTCATGCTGCGCCTCCTCCTCCTGCGGCTGTCAGACCTGCGCCTGCGGCGCCGCCTGGATCTGGACATGTCGCTCTCGTCGCTTCTGTCGCCCTTGTCGCCGCCGTGCTCTGCGACGCCCGTCGAGGCCGCTGCCCGCGGGCCGCTCTGCTTCGCCTGCGTCCTCTTATCGGTGTACAGCTCGTTGCGCACTGCGGCCTCCACTGTCTCGCTCCAGGCCGCCTCCAATTGCGGCCTGTACGTCCACTCCCCGAGATCAGGGTTCCACCTCTTATCCTGCACATTATCTTCAATCTTTTTCGCGTCGAAGCCGTCGTGCGCCCACTTCCTCAGCGGAAGGTACTTGCCACCCTTGCGGACGCGCTCCTCCTCCATCCGTTGGACAGTGATTGAGCTGACCACGAAGGCTTCAATGCGATCGAGGTTCGACAGCCCAGGATCTTCTGCCAGATCCTTGTAGAACTGCTGCTTGAACTCACTCTTCATTTTGGCGAAACACTTTGGCGGCCACTGTCCGAACCTCCGAGAAAGGCGCACCCCGTTCGTGTTGCACGCGTCGCACTGGTAAGTCGACTGGCCCTTCGCCTTGATCCTGTAGTTGCACTCCTTTGCCGTGCGACAGCAGCGGTTGCAACGCACGATGCTATGCCCGATGCCATGCACATCCACGAACTCCCCTACCTGGGGAGCGCCTGCTGGCGGATCGTCCTGAGCTGCCTCCTCCTCCTCCGCCTGCGGCGCTGCCGCCTCGGGCGAGCGCTCCTCATTCTCAACCTTGGCTACCGCGCCCTGCGGTGGAGCCTCTTCCTCCTCAAGCTCACGCTTGGCACTCTCAAGCTCATCCTGTTTGACGCCGAGCTCGGAACCAATCTCGTCGCCGCGCTCCTCGGAGCCCGATGCCGCCTCTGACGCTGCGTCGTCCGGCTCTGGTGGCAAAGCCGCTGCGCCCTGAGGAGGCAGTTCTTCGGCGGGAGCTGCGGCTGACGCAGCTTTGCGAGCCGTCCTCAACGCTGCGGGGTGCTTACCTTTGCCCTTGCCTTTGCTTTTCCCGCGTGCCTTCGGCGGCCCTGCGTCGGTCAATGCGAGCGGCGGCACAAGCTGTCCAGTCAGTGTCATCTGCGTCCCCGATAGCTTAGCTTTCCCACGGGGCTTCGCTGCGGGCGCCTTGGTCATCACTCCCTTGTTTTTCGGCCTGGCTGCTCCGAACATCACTGCCAGAGAATGCTGCTGGTGATCTTCAGCGGGCGGCGTCCCCGCCATGGCGGCGTGACCGCCTTGGCACGCGAGAAGCCGCGCGTCGCGCGCGGCCCTGATGCCAAGATGAGCTGGACGCGAAGCGATGACGAAGAAAACGCGCGGTAAGTGAGGCGGGATAGCCGCCAGCGGAATAGCCGCTTCAAAGGTGGAGGGAGGGGTGGAGTGAGGTATGAAGGGGGCGGCATATCCGCCAGCGGACTCGCCGCTTGAGAGGGTGCAGGGGCGCGGCGAGGGAGGCGGATTGGCCGCCAGCGGACTAGCCGCTCGAAGCGTGGCGGACGCACGAGGTGATACGGATACTGAAATGAATTGCGCGCAACATGACAACCACACAAAATTGACATCATGTTATCATATGTTATCATATGTTATCAGGCGTGTGATAACACCATGCTAACACATGATAACACCTGATAACATGTTATCAGGTGTTATCAGGTGTTATCAGGTGTTATCAGGCGCGTGATAACATATGCTAACATATGATAACAGCCAACGTTTTTTTGCCAGTGCATGGCGGCGGCGTAGCGGCACGTCCGCCGAGTTAGTTAAGCGGAGCAGCAGGGGCGGAGCGGCGCCCTGCGCTACCGACCGCGGACGGCGCCGCGTGCTTCAAACCGCTGCCTGAGCGGCAGCGAAAAGACGGGCGAGCGCGGAAGCGAGGCGCGCTGCCTGAGCGGCAGCGAAGAGACGGGCGAGCGCGCGCAATCGGGGCGCGCTGCCTGAGCGTCATCATATGCAAGGCGATGGGGGGGTGGGCGGACATGGCGATGCAGCGCATCCAGAAAATAGCCGCACTCATTCTTATGCGGATGCAGTTTTCTCCACCCAGCCCTTTTGCCAAATCCCATCCAACCGCCCACCTGTCTTATCCGCCGAAGTTCCCTCACCTTCCTCCCGCTCCGCTCGTCCACTCGCCCCCATATCGCCTTGCATTGGGGGACGGCTACTCGGCCGCCTGCGTGGCCAAAATTCACCTCGGCGTGGCGGCCTTCACGAATTGAGTGCGGATGGAGTGTGTGGGGGTGTCCTAATTTGTTCTGACACAGGGGTGTGGATTGAAATTGCGTTGGAGGAGTGGGAGGGGGGCGTGTAGGGCCGACGCGTCGCGCCGCCTGCGCGAATGAGGCTACTGATGCTGAGGCGACATCAGTGCTGCCAGCCGTGCACCTGCACCTACGAGGTCGCGTTGCGCACCAGCCAGCTCGCGAGCACGTCCTCGCACTCGGCGATGCATTGCTCCTCTTGGCGGAAAGCGTTCACCGCGCGCTCCGCTATCTGGGCGCACATCTGCGTCGCAGTACGCGCGCGGCGCAACGAGTCGAGCACAGCCTGGCACTGGGTGCCGTTGAGCACCACGATGCTATCGGGCGACATCTGGCTGGCCAACGCCGTGGACATCCTCATGCCCGCCGTGGCTGACGAAGCTGCGCCTGACGATCCGCTGCCCCCCGAGAACGCGTCCTTCAGCTGGTGCGAGCGCTCCACGCGGGATTGTGGAGGGATTGGCGCCAGCTCGACCTTCGGCGCCCCCTTGCGCCTTTTGGCGGAGCCCCAGTTGGCCTTCTCCTCCTCCCATTGGCGCCACTCCGCGAGGTCGACTTCCCACGAGTCGGCCTCGAGTGCGATAGCAGCTACCTCCGCTTCGTCCTCGCTCAAGCTGTGGTACGGCGACACGTGAAGGTGGTTCACCAGCTTGTTCCTGGCCTCCTCCACTGTCTCTCCCTGGAACCACTTGCCGCCCCTTTTGCAGCTGCTGCTCTGTGGGCACTTGAAGCCGAACATGACGGTCTTCTCGCCCTGCTGGCCTGCCATGGCGGCAGGGCGAGAAGTGCACGGCTAGCGCAGGGGCGGCGTGGGGCGCGAGCTGTGCGCGCCTAGATTCGAGCCGATACAGCGTCCCAACAACAAAAACATACATGTGTAAGAGGCGCGGTGGCATCGCACATTTCGGGATGCCAGCAGGCGGCGGCGGCGGTTTAGCCGCCAATGGAGGGCTCAGGGCGGCGTGGCCGCCAATGGGCGGTTTAGCCGCCAATGGGCGGCGTGGCCGCCAATGGAGGCTTCAGGGCGGTTTAGCCGCCAATGGGTGGCTCAGGGAAGGACTGGTGTTTTTTTCCAACCGCATAGAACAAACCCGATGCGCCGATGCTCGTATCTGAACGGCGGTTGTCCGCCAGGCGGGGGGAGGCGGCGCGTCCGCCAATGAGATAGATCGGCAACGAAGAGAGGGGAGGAGAGATGAGATGAGACGAGGCGGGGAGAGGCGGCGCGTCATGACGCGTCAGCGCGGATAGCTGCAACTATCCGCGCTCGAATTACGGAAGCTATGCACCCCAGCCCGCTTGCAGGTCCACGCGATCACCCTACAAGAAGACATCTCCGCGGGCGGGCGGGCGCGGCTTCGCTGGCGGTGGTGCCATCTTGCTTGTCGGCTGCAGCCGACGCCCTGCCCTCGGCTGCACCATGCTGGGCTTCCCTGCTGGCGGCTGCCTGGTCTTCGGCGGCGGCGGCCCCATGGTCTTCGGCGGCGGAGGCGGAACTGGAGGGTTCATATTGCCAGTCCTCCACGGCGCCTGCTGAGGCATCGTCTTGGGCAAGTTCGGCGCCTTGGGCTCCCGATGCATCAGCTGAGGCTTGGGGACGTGCGCCTCGCGCACCCGCGGCGCTGCCTTGTTGCCGTGCAGCTTCGCGTACATCTCGCGCTTTGCGCCACCTCGGTTCCCCCAGCGCTTCGCATTGGCGCGCCACGCCTGGCCCTGCCACGTCTGCGGCCCGCCCATGGCGGGGCCAGGCGGGCCGCGGTCGCGGAACTTCTTGTAGTCGTACTTCATCTGGTACTCCTTGAGCACGGCGAGCACGGTCTCCGACCGCCAGTCGATGGGATTCCCAACGGGGTCGCTCAGCCAGGCTCGCAGCTGCGCCCTGAACGCCTCCACCGCGCTGGGATGCGCCTCCACCGCCTCGGGGGGCTCTTCCACCACAGGCGTCGCGCCCCGCATGTGCGACGCGAGCTCCTTCACGAGAGCCGAGGGCGGGAAAGGCCGCTGCCGCGGGTCCCGCGGCGGTGACGTCGGCCCCCGCCTGCGCGGCGGCGTCGACGGTGCCCGCGGGTGGCGCGGGCTGCGCGATCGCGCTGGCTGCGCCGCCAACGTGGGCGCGCTGGCTGGCCGACTGCCGCTGGCGGAGGAAGACCGATCCCCTGCGTTGTTGTCCACGCCCGCAAGGTCGGAGAGCAACTGCATCGCTGGCCCGAACATCTCCTGCGCCGAATCGCCAAAACAGTTCGACCGAGAGCGGCCAGCCAGTTTCGCGCGCGATGCGCGCGTCCCTGGCTACCGCACGCGGGGCCACTTGTTTTGGCGATGCAGCTGCCTCCAACGCGTCGAACGCGCTGCCGCTGTCTGCCATGGCCGCGGCCGCAGTGCGAGGCGCCGAGCGCGACGCGGTGGCTGCGGCGCAGCCTCGGCGCGCGGGCCCCAGCCCACGCGTCGGCGCGAAAGGGGGGGGCCAACCCCGCGCGGGCTCGCGGGCACCCGCGGGCCGCGGGCTTGAACCGAAATGGAATCGGACGCGGAAGCGAGACTTCGGGAGGAGGGGGAGGGGGTTGCCCATGGACCCATTGAAGTCTTGGAGCTCCTCGAGCCCTCGGGGGCCTCTCAGAAGGGCCCCGCTGGTTCTTGCGACGGGGTCTCGGGGGAGGGGGCAGAGTGAGGGTGGCATTGGGAACCAGAAATATAAGTGAACTGGTGTCCCTTTGAATGTGCAGGTCTTGGTTCACTTGTTTTCGTCGTTGAACGGGCGGTGGCAACGTCGGTGCCTTCGCGCGCGCCCATGCCATTCTGGGTGAACGCCTTCGCCGTTCGAGCAGTGGGCGTCTCCCCGACGTTAGTTGGCGTGGGATCCAGTGCCTGACAGCGGAGAGGGGGGCGCAGGGACGTGGCGCGGGGGCGCGGAGTGGGCCGATTAGGGGAGGGGGGCGGCGGCATGTCCGCCTGAAGGGCGGAGGAGCGCAAAGGGGTGGGGCGGGGGCGGCATGTCCGCCACGAGTTGGAAGGCGAGAAGGCTGCGCTACAAGGCGGCATATCCGCCACGAGGCGGCATATCCGCCACGACCTTTTTGTTATCCCGAGGCCGCCCCGTTGGCCTGGAGAGTTGAAGAGTCGTAGCGCGAATTACTCGCCGCGCGCCCTGGCGGCGAGCTCCTTCTTGACCAGCTCCTCCGCCTCCGCGATGGCCCTGGCCTCGGAGCGATCGGGCGCAACGAGGCAGCAGGGGGCGGAGGGGGCGTCGAGGCAGGGGCGAAAATGAAGAGAGCGCGGAGGAGGGCGTCGAGAAGGGCGTCGGTGAGAATCTGGCCTTGTCGGCCTCATCGCCCGCGATGTACTTCAGGCTGACGTTGCTGCCAGGGACGCCGACCCTGCCGCTGCGGAACTGCACCTGGGGGGCGGAGCAACGATGAACAGTCGCCTGAAAGGCGGCGGGCGCGCAAACTGCGACCCCAGCGGGGCTGCTGGGAATCGCCGCGCGCGCCCGACGCCTCATCGGTGGGAGGTTCAACCCCGCTCGCCAAGTTGCGTGTGGTCTGCATCTCCCACCTCGGCTTCGCCCACTTGCGCTGCTTGTCCTTCCCAGCCGCGCCGTCCGTCTTCTTGCCCGTGGGGAGCGGCGTCTTCTTAGCCACGTTGCCCGTGGCAGGCGGCGTCGTCTTCTTTGC